AGGGGAGAGGTGAACAAAGATGATACCCTCCTACCAGCCCCTATCACAGCACCTATGAATTTATACCAAATTTACCTTTAAGCATTTTCCATACCAAGGATAGCAGAAACTTCTTGAAATAGGGACAGTGTTGCTTATTCATATTTATCCAGTCAGGAAACATTAGTATTAATCACCTCCCATGTGTGAGGCTGAGCACCACTCATACACAAATAAGATAAAACAGCATCATGAGCCTCGTGAACCTAATGTTCTTATGGGCTAAGCTGACATTCGGCAATTAAACACGACTAATTCTTTAATTACAGTCAAGGTCAGTGCTTTGGAGAAGCAGTAGAGAAGGGTCTAGGAAAGCATATAACGCAGCACATGGAACCGAGAATGATTTAATATGGGCTTTCAACATTTATGCATATGGTTCACTAATTTTTCACACACCGCTGACTGATGGTGATTTATGACATATGAGGTGGCTTTATAATTGTAATGAAAGAAGAAAAGGAGATGGGAACTAAAGCCACGGGAATCCACGAGCCGGTCCGGCGCTGGCCCCTCTGTCCAGCGGGCCACATTCACTCCTCACCGGCACCTCTGAGGCACCTCTGAGACCAGCACTCCATTCTTCAAATGTGGAATATGACAAAGCAGTCTGACAAAAACAGTCACTAAATGGTGTCAGGACAAAGCGTGAGGCTTGTCTGGCTAATTTCTATTATACCACAGTGATTAAAGGCTGTAATTTTAGACTAAGTTTACAAAATTCTAGCTGCACAAGAAAATACATTTTGTGTACACATGATACACACAAAGTTAGGAGAATAATGGCAAGTCGATCAGGTGTTTCAGTCACTTAACTAAAAAAGATACGAAGTGTTCAACCTCTACAGAAGATGGAGTAAGTGGAGGACACATAGTTCGTTTCAATACAAAACATGAAAGTGTGTTCTCAGGTATGAAAGAGCATTCCCTTCCAAGCCAGACTCAGTGGAAGAATGACTTTTAGTCGAGGCCAATACCAACCCATTACTTTGACAAAGCCCCCATGTCACAGCCCTCCACTCTACCATAATTTTTTTAAAGATTTATTTATTCATTTATACAAGCACTGGGTACACTCAGAAGCACGGGAGGGTGAGAGAATTCACCAGAGTCAGAGCAGGGAGCAGAACAGGCAGATTGATGAAGTACACTGCTGAGAGGAGGAGCAGGCGGCAGGAGAGGTCTGCGTGCCACCGGCGGCAGGGGATTGAACCGGTGCTGCAGAGGCCGTGGGCAGCCTCACAGCCCAGTGCTCCACCACTATGCCACCAGGGAGGCCCTGCTCTACCATAATTTAATAGAGATGAGATTCGACAAAATATTCTTCCTCAGATTGACTCTCTCAAATTCAAGAGTTTGCCATTCAGGTTCATGAAAGTGAAATCTAGTCAATCAAAATCTAATGATTCAATAACCACAATAAAAAATACAAACATGGGGAGGGAGAAGGGCAGGAGGAGAAAAAGCTACAGAAAATTCTTAGAAGTCCTTTGGAGGCCCCCAGAAATTCCCGAAGCACCTCGTTTACATCTGTCTGTGGAGTTAATCATGCAGAGACAAACACACCTGCGTTAGGTGTGTGCCCAGACACGCACTAAGTAACGGGTGAGATTAGTTCTGTAGGAAAACAGACCCCTCGAGACCTACTTAGCCAATGTATAGAGAAAATGGGTATCTGGTACTTATGGAACACAGTAGAGTTTTTAAAAAATCAGTAAATACTCCATAATTAAGACTAAACTGGAACAGGAGAGTCAACGAGAAAAAAATTGTGAAGGAAATTTTTCCAATTTGTGGTCACTCTGGATATCAATGTTACTGATTTTTTATAATGAAGGCCCGCTTGCAGCTTACTGTCTTCCTTTTCAGTTACAGAGGTAAATCACTAGCCCTCGAGATCAGACATGATCACTGCCACTTGCTAGTTAAGAAATGGGAAGAGGGCCTCCCTGTTGGCGCAAGGGATTAAGCATCGCACTATGAAGCAATCCGCAGCCTCTGCAGCATGAGTTCGATCCCCGGCCGGCCAGGGAGCAACCCACATGGCACAGCAGACCTCTCCTGTCTTGCCCGCTGCTCCCCTCAGCAGTGTATTTCAGTAGATCCACCTGTTCTGCTTCCCACTCTGTCTCTGGTGGATCCTCTCACCCCCCACATCTCTGGCCTGTACCACAGCTCTTGTATGCATAAATAAATAAATCTTTAAAAAAAAAAAAAAAGAAGAGAGAAAAAAGAAATGGGAAGAAAAGAGGGTGAGAGTAAAACCAAAAGGCAGGAAGAAATCTCCCCTGACCTAACAAGAGAAAACCTGGATGAGAAAACCTGAGGGAAAGCGAGGACTCGACACTGATTCATCCACAGCTGGAAATGAGCAGAGAAACGTCAAGGTATAAAAACCGAGTCACTGAGTCATGCTGGGTTCAGCTGTCCAGCTGTCTGGTCAGCTCACCGCACAAAGGCAGTTGGTCAAGAGGGAAGAGTACGGACCTCCCTGCTAATCGGTCTCCCCGTCTCAGGGCCAGACAGGTGCAGAGAACACAGCACTGTTCCTAATTCGCACATAAGTTGCAGTCCACAATTGTATAGAAGTCGGAGGAGGGCTAGCCTGTGCTCATACCTCACCATAACACCAGTCCTTCCGTCCACATCCTTACCTCCCCACAATGCTGCTGTACATGAGAAAAGAGCAAAAGCACACTGGCAATCTTCCTTCTAGAATGTTCCTAGACCCACACTATGCCTTGCTAACTTGAAATGGGTGGCTATTTTACCACCTTTTAATTTGATATTGAAGTCAATCATTCTGAGGTTGATGACTACATTGGGCTAGAGTAAAATGAGCTTTTCATTACAAATGGAAAGTTGCTAATAAAATTTGGAGTGTATCCCAGACTTCGAACTATACTACAAAGCCATAATCATCAAAACTGCATGGTAGTGGAACAAGAACAGACATACAGACCAATGGAATCGAATAGAAAATCCAGAAATAAACCCACAGATTTATGGTCAACTAATCTTTGACAAAGGAGCAAAGACTATGCATTGGCGCAAAGAAAGTTTGTTCAATAAATGGTGCTGGGAAAACTGGGTTGCTACATGCAAAAGAATGAAGCTTGACCACTACCTCACACCATACACAAAAATCAACTCAAAATGGATTAAAGAACTAGACATAAGACCTGAAACCATAAAATATATAGAAGGAAATATAGGCGAAACACTACGTGATTTGCACATCAAAGACATCTTTACAGATACATCACCCAAAGCAGTGATAGTGAAGGCAAAGATAAACAGCTGGGACTACATCAAATTAAAGAGCTTCTGCACAGCAAAAGAGACAATAACAAAAACAAAGAGAAACCCCACTGACTGGGAGAACATTTTTGCACCCAACACTAATGATAAAGGACTGATCACAAAAATCTACAAATAGCTGATGAGACTCAACAACAACAAAGAAAATAACCCAGTCAAAAAATGGGCAGAAGAGCTAAAAAGAAACTTCTCTGAAGAGGAAATGCAAATGGCCAACAGGCATATGAAAAAATGTTCAACATCACTTGTCATCAGGGAAATGCAAATCAAAACTACCATGAGATACCATCTTACACCAGTGAGAATGGCACATATTAAAAAAACTAGCAACAACAAATGTTGGCGAGGGTGTGGAGAAAAAGGAACTCTTCTGCACTGTTGGTGGGAGTGCAAACTGGTCCAACCACTATGGAGAGCTGTGTGGAGATTTCTTGACCTACTAAACATAGAGCTTCCATAGGATCCAGCAATTCCACTCCTAGGTATTTACCCAAAGGACACAGAAACATCAATTCCAAAGAGCACCTGCACCCCTATGTTTATAGCAGCACTGTTTACAATAGCTAAGCTTTGGAAACAACCCAAATGCCCAAAAATAGATGACTGGATCAAGAAGATGTGGTCCATACACACCATGGAATATTACTCAGCATTCAAAAAAGATAAACACATGCCATTTGCAGCAACATGTATGGCGCTGGAAGGGATCATGCTCAGAGAAATAAGCCAGAAAGAAAAAGAAAAATACCGGATGGTCTCACTCATAGCAGGAATCTAGAAAACTTAAATAAGGGACCAGGAAAATGAATAACTAGAAGAAAGTGAAAATCAAAATCAACAAAAACTATGAACCAGAGACACTTTTTGGGGAGGTAAGGATGTGGGGGGCGGGAGGGGAGGGATTAGGGTCAGAATGGGTGGGTTGCAATTGTATGGGGAATATAAAAATAAAATTTATTATAAAAAAAATAAAATAAAATAAAATTTGGAGTGTAATTTATTCCTTAAAGGGAGTAAGTGTAACTTTACTTTCATTACTTAGATGGAGCCTAGGGTCCTGACTGGGTTATTACTACACACTCCAACGGCTTGTGGGATTACACAGACACAGGGCTGCCCTGGATGAACTGAGGGAACACTGCATTTGCTAGGAAGTAGTCTATAATTTACTCAAATTCATAGCAGCAAAGAGCTATTCTTTCCACCCTTAAGTTCATGAAATGTAGCTCAGTATGTTTCATATCTCCATACATTCTCATATTTCATATGTCAAAACAACAGAAAACAGTAACAGCAAATCTGCTGTCAAACTGCACTGACCAAAAAAATACTTTAGAATAAAGAATCATTTACATGCAATACACACCAAAAAAAAATAAATAAATGCTCACCTTGGAAAGACGTAAGTTATCATCTCACTTGATAGTCTAAGATGTAAAGTATATGATTGCTAAAGAAAATAACTTACCTATCGATTCTTCATTATTAGCATGTCAGTTAATTCTAGCTTTTCTGATTTCTATTTAATCACAGAGTAAGCAAATGTTTCATGGAATTCTTTACTTAGTAAATCTTCAACTGTTTTCTAGAACTGGGCGGCATGTGTAATCACAGGACCTCGAATGTTTGTCTTTATTTACCTCGAATAACGTAATTATCCAGGGCATCTTCCATTCTCTTCAGTGCTTCCGTTCTGTCAGAACCGTAGGTGACTAGCTAAAGGCAGACAAACACAAAAGGATTTGCAGAGGTATGAACAGTCTAGCTATCTAGAAGTCAAGCAATTTATCCTAGTAAAAATTACAGTGTTTTATAACAGATTTCCCAGACTTTTTGAAATTTCAGTACTTTGATTTTTAATACAAAGTATATCAATTAACACTACTATTAAGTAAATACAAAATGGAATCAAGTTATTTCAGGCTCTTCTCTGACATCAGGTATCACAGAAAAGAGCTTTTTGAGATAATAAAAATGTAACAAAAACAAGCATAACTCATGTGGAAATGGAGGATGGCAAAATGCCCCACCACTGGCCGGGGAAGGACTGGGCCAGATGCTTCTCTCACCCGGTTTGTGTGTGGTTGTCACATCTGACCTCCTGACAGCTAACTTTTACACATTACATTACACAAAAGAAACGGTTTCTTATTTTGGAAAAACAGAAAGGTCTCGCAGTTCTATACGAATGTGTGCCGAGTGTAAATATCTTCTACAGATAGGTAATAGGAACCCCAACTATTCATCAACGATTTTTCTGGTTATTAGTGAGTCCTCAGTCTGCAATTATTTTATTATACTTTATGAGCCCTTCATTACTAAGCCAAGTTGAAAATTAACTTGCAGGTGACCTTTCCAAAAATAAATTTATTCCTCTAAAAATGGAGCCACATCCATTAATCTGTCCTAATTTATGTATTTATTTTTTAATTAAATAGCATTTCTTTAGTTAAAAGAAAAAACTTCATTTTAATGATATTAATGTAAACACTTAAGTAAAAAAAAAAGTTTTAAATGGTCTGTCCACTGCAACTGCAGAAAAAAAGTGCGTTGGTACAAAGCCACCTTGACAAATGGGGTTTTTTAAGAAGTCAAGCTTCAAGACAGGTCCCACACGTCAAAGAGACAGAATCTTCTAAATAAAATCCAGTTTTAACTACTATAGTCAGAAGCTTATATTTTATAACCTCTATGATTCTAAAGATGTTTAAAGATCTGTGAGTAGAGTTGTTCATTGACTCTGAAAAGTCAAATGTCAAAAAGACAGGTGGGCAAAAAGCCATCTTATATTGTTACATGAAATTTAATTATGTCAATTTTTGTGATTAGTGATTCAGAAAAATTGAAGAAAATACTCTAACAAACACAGCCTGTCCCCCCAAGTCACCTGCCATTCATATTTTCATCTCAGGCCATAATAAGAATGGCCGAAAACCAATTTATTCCCACTGCAAGTGCTGGGTTGGAGCCCCGGGGCTGCCCGAGTTGCCACTGTGGGGTCAGGGGCGATGGATACACACAACTGGGGTGGAGGAAGTGCTGCAGACCAAATGACATTGCAATTTTTCTCTTAGGGGCTTCCAGGTGGTACAGGGGTTAAAGCCTCACTCAGCACTACCAAGCTATCGCCAGCCACTGAGGCATGAGTTCGATCCCCAGCCAGGGAGGTGACCCACATGGCGCAGCAGACCTCTCCTGTCTAGCCTGCTGCTCCCCTCAGCAGTGTATTTCAATAGATCCACCTGTTGGCTCCCCACTCTGTCTCTGGTGAATCCTCTCATCCCTGCATCTCTGGCCTATACCCCAGTTCTTGTATGCATAAATAAATAAAAATAAATCTTTAAAAAAAAATGAAATTTCTCTCTTAAAAGAAAACCTGTTCTGTTTTCATTTCCCATAGTGCATGATTACTGATTTAATTATAGCACGTGATTCAGAAAAAGACCAATGTCAGACTCTTTCATTAAATGTGTCCATTGCCTTGACAGAAGAAAATTGAAAGAAACCAAAAAGAAATTTAACTAACTTTTGAAATCATTGGATCATAATAAATGCTAATATCACTTCCTGGCTGGATGCCGCTGTCAACCCGGACCTGGGAGAAAGAAAAAGAAAAAAAGAAAAAAGAAAGTTACTATATTACGCAGACATTTTTCTAATGACAAGTTTAAGTTCCACGGAGCAAAGGGATCATCTCAATCTCAAACAACATTTCAGTTTCTAGAAAATAGAAGACAACCTATGACTACAGAGACATCACGTTAGCCTGATCTGTTATTATGCAGAACACACATAGTTTGTCTTCCTACTACATGAACTAAGGAACAAATGGCCAGCGTCAACAAAAACCACAACAGCCACTGTATCCCAAGCCAGGATGCGTGTGCAGTTAGTTACTCCACGGGCGCTGTGCAAGGGAGGCACAGCATGGAGAGGCCCCTGCTCCCTGCACTCCCCAGAGTCCCCTCTGAGAGTTTCAGTGAGGACCCTGGCAAAGCAGGCAGCGGAGCTCGGATCTCCGCTCATCAGCTCAACAGGAACTCAGGGCTCCTGGCTTTCATGTCTGTAACACTTTCCTTTCTTGCCTCACCCTCTCTACTGCAAAACGCCTTTTTTCTCTGGCTGTGAGTCCCTGGAGACTGTAATGTTTACACAGCTTTTCTCATGGCTTTGCCATGTAAGGACACAGCCCCAATTAGAGTTCTGATTTTGCGATTTTCATGGGGGAGGAAAAATAGCACAAGTTCAAAATATTCTTTTGAAGAGCCTGATTGCTGTTAACCAGACGACAAGTTAGTTAGTACATCGCTGATTCTTGTTTTCATCTCCCAGTTTGAGCCCAACAGCAAGGCACAGAGGTTAGCCATGTAAAACGTTTCAAATGAGCAGTTGCTGAGAATGAAATATTTATTAAATTATTGTGCCGAAGTTTAGGAATCTGAAGTATTTAAAAGCGAGCAGATCCTGGGGTCTTGAGAGAGGAATTTCATCAGAGCTGCTCGACAGCAGGACTTGGATGCCAAACATGGTGAGGGAGTGGGAAGGGGACCCTCACAGCTCTTCACCTGTGGAAGGAGGCTCCCTAATAAACAGCAGCTCATCTGTCTGCAGCAAGGCAGGAAAAGGTCAACACAGCGGCTGTTAGGCCTTTAATATTTTAATTTAGGCAATTATCAAGGGACCACATGTAGAACCTCTTGTCTTGGATAGCCACACGAGAGAAGGATGATGGCTTTATTATATGGTGACATGAAAAGATAAAGCATAGTTTCATTCTCTTAAAAAAAAAAGTCACACAACTATTATTCCTCTTACAAGCTCTGAGAAGCTAATCTCAGCGCTTTCATTTCCGTATTTGCAAACGCCAACCAAAATATGGTCATTTGTATTTGCATTCACATTCATCTCTGAAAATCTTAATTTTAAATTGAAGAGGCTCAGCGCGCTTAAAGTGTACTTGGTTTTCTATTTTCTGAAAACCTAGTTCAGGTCATAAACCAACAGTCTATGAAATTCACGAGGTTTCGAAAAACTGGGAAAGAATTAGTGGGGCAGCTGTGGAAGCAATGAAATCATAACCTAAGTTCTCCCTACATTTTAATAACCCCAAAGGGGCAACTGGCAATCAAGTGACATAACAGAAAAGATATCTCTAAACTTGCATTTTCTTAATTTTAGTAGCAAAAAGTTCAAGAGCTAATTTCACCGCCACATGTTATTTAAAAGCATAGCAAGCTTGCTAACGCTGTGTTAAAAAACTCAGGTTGGTCCAAGATCTAAAACTTTTGACTTTAGACATACCCTACTATTTGCTACATAAACTGCCACAAAGTTGGGGTAGAACTTTGATATTCAGCAAAATAACACAGACAATATCTATTACATTCTTCTATTGTCCCTAGCTGAAATTTTTAATGACCATGAATAACACCATCCTAAAAATTAGCTGACTGTGGACTCCCAGATATAACTATGTCTTTGTTATCCACTAACATCATGATCACAAAAGGTATGTCACTTTAATTGAAAAAAAAAAAAAAAAAAACCAGGGTAAAATCAAAATGTATTCTATAGAACCACACATATATTTGTATAAGCAAGTCAATATTCTGATTTAAAACCATAACAAAACATGAAAACTCTTGCTTATACTTTTCTGTTTATGTAGCTTTTCCAAATCATCAGCTTTTGCTTTCTAAGGACTCCATTCCACCAGAGAAGCAAAGGTTATGTTTAAAAAAAAAAAAAAAAAAAAGTGTATAGCTTAACTCTGGCACTAAAAGCTTTAAGAATAAAGTCAAACAGAACTGCAATCAAATTTTTGAGCAGAGTAAAATCTGCAGTCTAAAGATAACAAATATACTGAATATAGCAATCATAGAGAAAAAGACAGTCTCTATCTTTGCCACATAAATACATGTTAAGCTTAAAGAAGCATGCGCCAGCACAGCCCCTGTGTATTCCTGTGGCCCAAAAAAGGGTTAAGAGTAAAAGGAGAGTTTCCTGAGCTATAACGGATGTAGTTTAAGAAGACATGGAGGAAGAACAAACATCATCGCCCCAGCACCTGTGCCTGAGTCTCAAAACATTGCTCAGAAACCTCTGGCAGAATTCAGACGTCTTTCTCCCGAACCAACAGTGGATCCTGTGAAACACCCACCCTTCATCCTCCATCACCTCTCCCCCTCTGCACAACTCCCAGTCCGCCATGTCTACCTGACAAGTGACAGCCCAATCTGATTAAATGCTTCCAAGGGAGGGGACTCGTGGGCCTCCATGACAGGCCAAAAGTGATCACCATGGAGATACATAATTACAGCTGTCAACGCATCTACTGTCCTGCTGACATCAATTTGATCGCTCCCAGCAATAATGATAGACAAAGCTTAGTGTGCGCTCTCCCGCACCCAATCACTTTATCTGTTCCTCGGTCCATTTAGCTGACATGCAACATTCACACAAGCAAATAACAGCAGTAAGCAGAACATTTAAGGCATTTTAATTGTTTTTTCTTTCTATGGATGGCTCACAACCGCAAATGTTATTACATAAAACTCCTGCTGCAGCATTAATTGAAGAAAGATTTGGTGGGACAAAGACTGTAGGGGGTACAGTTTGTCCATTATCACTTGTACTTTCAACAGGTCTCACGTTTGAAAATTGCAAATTGCAAAAACTTGCGAGGGCAAAATGTTTGACATCCTGTTAGCTATTACAACATGGTGAAAACTTCCAACAACTAGAGTAATCATTATGAATTCTTATTTAATACTTTTTTGTTTGATTAAAAAAATGTTTAGATATGTCCCTATGACACTTGTCTCCTCATCTGCTATTTAACGTCACATAATGCCTGTTAAATCTTTACAATTTTTTTTCTGCCTCCAGGCTTTGAACACAGCATGGAGTCTCCAAGCCTAGAAAGGGTCAAGTCCCTTCAGAAAGCACATGGGCAAAAACAATTTAAAAAGTGAAATAAATCATATATCCCATAACATCTTCAAATTTAGAATTCTTCCTGTAATCTTTCTGCCAGTGCTCAAACTGAATAATCATATTCACAGATGGTACAGCCTTGTCATCCACTAGCTAACGTCATGTCATGTATATGTGCACTATTACCTTGATTAAGAGAAAGGCTATGTCCTTGTTCTTTTGCTGCAACAAGAACTATTTAAAGAACGGCCAGGAAATAGAGAACAAAGTGGGCAGTGATCACTTCTCTCTAACCGGTGCAAAGAATATATTCTTCTTAAAATCCCCGACACTTTTAGAATGAGACACAATTTGTCTTCCTTAATCCATTCAATTAACGAGCTAATTTTGGGCTTGAGTTTCCTGACATCCAACTCGACAGAGAAGCTGGATTAAATTTATTGAAAAGATTAAATTGCAACACAGAATAGTCATTCTCAGGCCTCCACGGCCTTTTTTCATTATAATTTTCGAAAGAATTAGAAACACCAAACAATCATTTCCAAATCAGATGTCGCCGGACTTCCCCCGCCAAATGGTTTCTGGCTTTCCTGCACATCACAAAGTACAAAATATTTTTTTCTTAAAGGCTATGATTCCCTGTAAATTTCACTTCAATGTAGGCCCTTTGGGGGTCTATGCTTTAACATAAGAGCATGACATAAATCAAAAGTTTAACTCCTCACTTGATATTACAGCTTAATGACTTACACCAGGTAGATGTACTGGTTCTTGGTACTGAGACAATCTCCCAATGGACGGTAAACCGAAGGACTTGTAGGGGTCCTGAAAGTTCAAAGGGAAGGAAGCACAGTCTTTGAAATGTGAATCAGCATGAGTAAGGTCCAGTTTTTGTACAATGAAGGAACATTTATAGATGTATTTTCATCCTACAGTATTTACCAAATGACAGATTTCACAACATTATTGTCTACTCCTCACTCTAGACCACTTAGCCGTGTATTTAAAATCTAACAGAACTGCAAGCAGAATTTAGCCTGACCTTGATTGTACTTTATTGAAATTGGTAAAATGCCAACTTTTTATAAATCTCCTTTGAATGCCTTGGGCAAAAAAAAAATAACCTAGGCCCTACATCAAAACATATTCAAGTTCAGAACAACACATGTAGTGCACTAAAGATATTTGTTTTTCTTACTCTCAAAACAGCTCACATATGGTAAAATTGTAGAATTTTGGTTTTTCAAATAAAAACCTTAGAAGAAACTTTGCACGTTACTAGGAATGTACTCCACTGGCAAATACCTTAGATGATCAGAATAAATATTAAATAAGCCCAGTATCACAATAAAAAAAAAAGAATACCACTTAAAATATAATAAAAAAGCAAGAGCAGCTAAGACAAACACATTTCTCAAGATTCTTAAGAAGCACTTCAACGAAATGTCCAGTATTCTTAAACAGAGATCTGGGTAAATTTTATTCCAGAAATTGACTGCTTATTTATCAAATTTATATAGTTGTAAGATAATATAAAAGTACTGAAATAAGAGTATTCAACTAAAAGTTGAAAATCCACAAAAATCCATAGTTAAAACTGAGTCAAAAGTTCTATTGAAAGTTTTCGATTTAAATGTGTTACTGTCATGTAAAAATAAGGGGTAAATTATTAGAAAAAAATACTGGAAATAATTTTCTAAAAGCCACAGAAATGAATGTTCCTGTTTATTTTAATGTGGTTTGAAAACAAGCAAACACAAATAGAACAAAAACCACAATCCATTTAAGCACAAGAATATTTTACTAATGCTTTGTTGCCTCTTAAATGGATTGGTAGTTATTTCTCCTTTCAGAAACTATACATGAAAATTAATTAAACTCAATCCTTTAAAATCGTTTTATGTCCAAATTAACCTTTTTTTTTTTTCTGGTTCCATTCTGGATTATATCACTGAGAACATGAAACCAGTCCCAAAAGCCTAACTTGACCTTGTGGCTTTGCTACACCTGGTCCCATGACTCGGTGCCCAACCCCCAGCCTTCCTCCCGACATATCCATTTTACCTCAGCATAGACCCGACATTCAACTGCCCAGCCGTTGATGGGAATATCAGCTTGTTTGTGCCTGAGAGGGTAACCCTTGGCAACACGGATCATTTCTTGGACTAGGTCCAGACCAGTAATGCATTCGGTGACAGGATGCTCAACCTGCAACGCCAAGATCTGCCCGTCAGTAGGTGTAGAAGGAGATACATGGGTAGAAAGATGCAAGAAGAGTTTTAACGACTTCAGCGTAAATGAGGTTAATTACATTTAACATGTAATCTTCTGTGACTAAGAAACTGAGAAAATAAAATTAAAGCAGCAACACAATACACTATAAAGTGTGATCAGGAAAACACCTAGAACACATTTGTAAACTAGCTTATTGCTTTCCCCAGATTTTTTAATTCCATGTGGCACAGCAACGTCGAATAATTCTCATTTTAAAACAAATTCCTAACTGAAAATTACATCTTCAGCTGCAATCCTTGGCGTGGCTCATAATCAGCCTATTCTGCTACACTTAGCTTGGCATCCTCAGAGGCAGCATATGATCTTCCAAAGCACTAGGCTAGCCTCGCCTCACCCACTTGCATGCTTTCACTAACCTGTCCTGACAAGCAAGCAGATTAGCGTACGCTTACATCAAGGCAGTGTAGCAGAAAGGAGCAGATGGATCCGGCAGGTTGTTTGCCGTGCAGACCGACGTGGGGAGTGCTTAGCATGCACAATCGCACCAAGAGCCGGTGAAATCACTCTGCTCTCTCAGCAAATTGCTGATAACTACTCCAAAGGATGCTGTCATGGGGATCCCTGGCCTCCACATGAGCACATGGGATACACATGGGTGCAAACATGCACCCACATACAGGGAGACACGTTATAAACAAAATGGATGACTCACAAGTTCCTAAACTTGGCGGGGCAAAAATAAACCCGAGGGGCACTAATAAAGAGCAGAGGGTCTGTCTTTCATTGAAGACCTTGAATAAGTCTCTAAAATTTAAATAAAATGTTGACCACATCTGTGGCTCTGATACCAATTTTTTTTTCCCTAAAATTTAAGCATCTTCTAAATGCACCTCACAATAGTTTCTTTATCAGGACATGTCATGTCTCATACACTCTGACATGGGAAAAGGTCAGTGAACAAGCGAATTGTCTTTCCATCTCCAACTACACTAATTGAAGGACAGGACTTAGTCATTTTAATAATCTTGAAGCTTATCATAAGCAGACAATGCCATGGTCTTAAAAAAAAAAAAAAGCTTTGTAAAAATAAACAGATGGCGTCCATAATTAGCTCTGTGTGTGTTATGAGTTTGTTTACAGTTTCAACAACATTTTAAGACATTTTGACATAATTTTAATGACAAATCATCACTAAAATAAGCATCTACCCTTTGTAAAATAAATGTGATGCTAAATAAAGATCTTAATAGTTTTTTAAAAAATATATATATTTGAGAGAAAGTTGGGGTTTAGCAAGAAACAAGACTTTCTGATATAATAAGAAACAAGCATAAAGTCCTTCTATTTTTGCTAGAAATAAATTTCATGTGAGAAAACATCTGACCACTCTATCCACTCAAGAGGTGAACATACTATGTGCCAAGGGCTTTACGGCTATACTAGTCACACATCCTTGTTAGGTAAGAAACTTGTAACAGCTAATTGAATTATTTCAGTTCATTTTTCTATGTTTAGTGCCCAGAAAAGTACCTACCATCTACTGGACAAATAAACATATACTGAGTGAATGAATGAACAACAAATCCAGAGTCGTCCCTCTAGTAAGTAGTAGAGGTCGGGCTGGGATTTATGTCACTGCATGAGTGACAGGTGCGATCCTCCTGTCTTTCTCAGGAAAACGCACATGGAAGCCTGTAGCAGATACCCATGCCTGTGCAATTCTGTGCTGCTGTCTTTTAAAAAACACTAGTCTACCAGTTTGAAAACCCAAGTTCATTAAAAGACTGTTTCACCTTAGAAGGCCTCTCGTAACTGGGTAGGGAAAGCAGAGTACTCCCAGAGAGAATGAGATCTCAGGCTGACTTCAACCCCAGGTAGTGATGTAGCAGATCATATCATGACAATTTATAGTCTAAATTAGTGAGCTGCAATTTAAAAAAAAAAAACGTAAGTGGAGAGCTAACATAGTAACAACTGCGCAAGGCAAAATATCCACTTAGGTTCAAGTATTTTTAAAGTTTACAAAATAGACAGATTTTGATTGTTTCAGTAACAAGTTTTTTTTTTTTTTCTTTTTGGAGTAGAAAATAGGAAGTTTTAATTTTTTAAATTTAATTTTATGTATTTTTACATCATTTGTCATTTTTGCACAATGTATGCATTTTCATCTTGGTTATAGTCCCCATACAATTCCCACCCCCCTTGTTTTGATCCTACTCTCTTCTCCCCTCCCGCCATTACCCCGTAGTATGTCTGGTTTATAGTTGCTGGTTGATTTTGATTTTTACTTTATTATTACTTTATTACAAGTTTTTTTTTTTAAGTGAAACTACCATTGTAAACTTTTTTGCAAGAAATCCTTCTCAACACATTTTAACAGAATCCAAAGTTGCTCAATAGGGTACTAGAAACATTTCCTGCAGACCCTGTATCACGATTGTCAGGAAACTTGTAACATTGTTTAAATAGCCATTATTTTATCCTTCCCTCAACCTCAGAACTCAGAAACAATTTCCCTCGGCAAGTTGAACTGAATACTTCAGAAGTCAGAACAGAGACATAGGCATCTGCTAACAAGTTCATCTTGTCCCGGCTAGCAGGATCTAACTACAAAGTCCCATGGTAATAGCATGTATTCTGGGGGTATTATGTTGTGTATTGGGTGGGGGCGCGGGGTGTCACTTCTATTTGGGACACACTGAGTAAAGCTACATTAAACCAGTTGTTTTAATGAAAGTCTCCTCAGACTCATTCACCTGTCAACGCGCCCTGGGACTCGCCCAGAGGAGGGGCTCACCCAGCACATACACAAGTACATACCCCCATCTCCTGCAGCGTGAATTCACGGACAAGAATTTGATGAACACGCTTTTAGGGGAAAAGTCTTTAACACTCAAAATAGAAAAATGAATTTCCTTATTGTGACTCTATCTTCACCAAACAAATTTGAGAACTTGGCTTCACACCTAATTTTCCCACCCAATAGAAATACCTGCTGCTTCCAAGAAATGTGAATAAGAGGTCCACCCGACAAGATAATTATTGCATTGGAGATTAATATACTGGCATTCTAGTACACAGATCTTGTGATTCAGTGAGCAAAAGTAAATCCTAACCACCCCCAAAGAAATCACACGTGAGCAGAAAGTCAGTCCTACCATGCTAGGATTCTGAGTGAGACGCAGGCATCAAGGCGTGCCGCCTTGCACGGCTACTTGTAGCTGATGGTTTGTACTGGCAATGCTGCCATCTTGCCATGAATCATTTGACCACACAGGTACAAACCACCACCATCCTCCTCCTCTTCATCTCAGGACAGGGCACACTCCCCTGGGGCCTGCTCTGGATGGCCATACACAGCTGCTCTCAGAGACCCGCTTGCTGTTTTGGTTTAGTGTTGTCTTCGTGGTCACAGCAAGCTGTCACACTGTCAGGATGTCTAGACCTCTTGCCACTCTCTTACTAATCTGTCGCTTCAAATGTATTTCAAAAAAAATTAAATAAATAAATAACTGAGCTTGTCAAATGTAACAGTGAAGTAAATTAGGTTTTGCTTCACCTCTGAATTCTTAATGAATCAAATTTCAATAATAATGAACTTAGAAAAATGAAATCCTTCTGGCACTGGGTTTTCATGATTTCAAGATTCTAAAATTATAATCATAAATTTTGACACTGCCAGTATAATCCTTAGCTTTATTCCTCATTAAATACAAACTTGGAAGTAACTAAAACTAGTGAGTGAATCAAACTACTCTGAGGAGCTATTTCCAGAGTCTCACAGTACATCCCTGTAAGAGACCTGATGCATGACCAAGAGGAAACGGTATCTCCACAGCACCTTGGGAGCCAACATCGCAGTCAGGGGTAGAGACGCCAGGGCCCCATGGGTGGCAGGCAGAGGAGCAGCACCACTGCTGAAGTATTCCTACCAAAAAGCCAGAGTCCGAACGCAACCAGGAGAAAAGAAATGCAAAATGAGGGATATCCCATAAAATAAACCACCTATGCTCTTTTAAAACAAGTCAATCAAAACTGACAAAAAGTGATAGTGGCTATTTCAGATGGAGAACACAGAGACATGAAAGTGATGTGATGTAGTGTGGGACCCCGAGAATCTTCAGGTTTTTATTTTACTCGACAAGACATTAGTGGGACAACCAGTAAAATTTGAATATGGGCTGTAGATCAGGTGACAGTAATATGTCAGTACGACTACCCTGACTTTGTAATAGTACTGTGTAATGTAAAGGAATTTTCTTATTTTATGAAATACATGTTTAGGGATAAAAGGTTTTCTGAAATGCTTCAGGCAAAGTAGACAGATGGATACATGGGTAAAAGAATAAAACACATGTGAATATTAATTACCATTAATGAAATTAATGAAATTCTTAATGAAATTCTTTGTAATATTTTCATTTTTGTGCATCAGAAATCATTCACGTTAAAAGTTAATAAAAACGAAAGCAGTGCATTAGACGCTTTTTGGTTTTAAGTTTTTGTTTGTTTTTTTTTTAAGATTTATTTATTTATTCATACAAACACTGGGTACAGTCAGAAGCGCGGGAGGGTGAGAGAATTCACCAGAGCCAGAGCGGGGAGCAGAGCAGGCAGAGTGACGAAGTACACTGCTGAGGGGAGCAGCAGGCGGCAGGAGAGGGCTGCGCGCCATGTGGGACCCTCGCCCTGTGGCCAGGGATTGAACCGGCACTGCTGAGGCTGCGTGCCGCTGCGCCACCAGGGGAGGCCCTGGTTTTACATATCATAATATCATATACCATTTGTATACTACTAAACAATATTTAAATAAAGATACCTGACTTGGTCAACATTATTTTTTCTTTTATGAGAATCCTCCCACTATGTTAAATAAAAATAGTCAAAAGCAGATAACGTATTCCATATTTTTGTGACTTAAACTTTTAAATATTTTATTGTGCCTTTTACCTAATAATTCCTAAGATTTTAAG